GTAGCTGTGTCACTACTTATCTTCAGCAAATCATTTATCCTTTCTGGCCTCAACTTCTGCAGTATTGGTATACTTTCATCCTCAGTCTGAAAAGTCAGTGCAGCTTGACGACCAAAATCACAGCTTCCAGAGTCAGGCTGCATGACTTGAACTGAGCCCCAACAGACTTAGATGTGTCATTTGAATCAAATTTCTCAACATCCTTAAGCCTCATCTCCTTCATTCATAAAACTGTTATGTTCACAGTGAATAATCTATAAGGTTACCATGAAATTTAAGAAAATTGATGTATATTAAACATAGCATAGAACATGGTCAATAAAACATCTCTAGAAATGAAATGCACCGCTGTCACGATGAGGCATTTTGCAATCAGAGTACTTGTATGGAGACCGGCAGGCACAACGGCTAATCACGCAGCTACTAACTGAAAGGGGGACAGTTCAATCCACCCAACCACTCTGAAGCAGAAAGATCTAGTAGCATGTTTCCATAGGGATCACAGCCAAGACACTGTACAAGAAAGCTCGATTCTAACACGCCATTTCGTCAAATTGACATGGAGTCATTAGGACTCAAAAATCAACTGGATGGCACCCCAAAACTACAAGTACTTGAGATGCATACATTCTTATCAATCCCCTTATTTCCAGGGTATCCTCAACCCACGGGCCTTCCTCAGACTCCAGACCCCATTGGTGGGCTCCCTGAGACCAGTATAATACTCGGTCTTTCATTGCTCAACAATAGCAGGTGTCTTGTCAAGAAATACTCTAAATAAATAAATGAATGAAAAAATCTGTGATTTAACTGAAAGACGTGCTAAGTAGGAAAGTGGTCAAGAACTGAGGGTTACATTTATTTTGTAAAATAAATTTGAAATTATTTCTACATGAAGGAGAAAGTGGCGGGGCAGGGGTAAGAGTCAGGGAATAACAGCACATGTTTTCATGCTGATCATAAATAAGTCAAACAGTCCTATCTAAGAATCTGCCTAAAGGAATGTCATTATGTTTGGTATTAAGCACCCCCGCACTCAATCTGTAATGTGGTCATCAAGGAACTTGTAAGGGATCATAGTTGCCCCCTCTCAACCATGCAACTAGATTTCATTCATCGTGACCCTACAGAGGGTTTTTGAGACTGTCAAACTTCATGGGAGTGCACAGCCTTGTCTTTCTCCTAAAGAGCCACTGGTGGATTCGAACCACAGAACTTTCAGTTAGCCATCAAACACTTAGAAGAAGAAGAATAGTCAAATGTTCGCCCCGCGTTGCATACCAAGTTACAGATGGGCTGCTGCTGACCACAAGATTAGTGGTTCCTCCCCACCAGCCACTCTGAAGGAGAAAGATAAGACTTACTGCTTCCACACAAATTTACGACCTTAGCGCTGTTATGAGTTGGAATTGGCCTGATGGCTGTGGGTTTGGTTAGGGGATATTATAAGTAAATAAGCCAATAATCCGGGATGGAGGGAGTAAGACATTAATCATGGGTTCTTAGTAAAACGGAGTGAGAACACCACTGGGTCAAGGGCAGAATGTTCACCTACTTTGCAGCAAGTCTGTCTTGGAAGAAGCACAGCCAGAGTGCTGCCTAGAGGCAAGGGTGGTGAGACTTTGTCTGACACACTTTGGACATGTGGTCAGGAAAGGCCAGTCCCTGGAGAAGAACATCATGCAGGGTCAAGTACAGGGGCCGCACACAAAAGGACGGCTCTCAAGGCTTCACAAACATAGTGGCTGCAACTATGGGCTCAAGCATGAGAACAATTGTGACTTTGGCAAAGGACCAGGCGGGGTTTCTTTTTGTTGTGCACAGAGTCGCTGTGCACGGAACCAACCTAAGGACACCTCACAGCAACAGAGGGCATGAAGACGGAGCAGGCTGGAGAAAAGCTTCTCCAACCCACACCTCGTGTCACCAGGAGACGCAGTGCTCAGACTGTAATCTCGACAGCCTCTCAGCTCTGGAGACAAGGCAAGGAGCTAGCATTTGTGGGAGAGTTTCAACCGACTAGGCCCTGAAGTCACTCAGAGTAAAGACTTCAGGAATGTACTTACTTTCACTGATCCTCGTGTCCAAAAACAAAAGTAAGCAATAACCAAGCTGCTCAGAGGAGCAGTTATGCCAAGAGAAGGTACCCTTTGGGACAAAGGCCATGCTCCTAATTACAACTGCCTCAAGCGCTGAGTCTTTCCATATTTCTTTCCATTTTCTGAAGCTATGTGTTAGCATAATAAAATCAGAGACAATAGGATCTTCATCTTTACCTTTTTCTCTTTCCCTAAGTTACACAATGCCAGAGAAAGTCTTTCTTTGCTTTCCAATCAGATAGTATATAAATTCCTCTGCATGGGTGAGAAAACACACACAAATGATCAGATTTAAAATGCTAAATATATACATTTTCTTACAGTTCTTAGGAATCAGAGATGTCTTCTCAAGAAATAAAATTTCTATGTGATTTATATTAGGGAAAACATGTCTGCACTTCATATTCTTGAGAGCATGTAGGAAAGTGTTAAATGTATAAATACAGACTAAGTGGTCGGAAGAGGTGAAAGCACAACTTGAGATAGGAAAAGGGTGTTTGCAGATCGGAAACCATGCGGCATAATTGAAAGCCCCAGTAGTGACAGTGAGAAGTTGTGAGTGTGCTTCAGCAAAGAAAACAGTGAAGCACCAGGTCATGTCACAAAAGTGCCCCCACACTGCGACCACCAGCAATACAACACATTGTATTTATTTTAATTTTCATAAGGCATTGGCTATTTATACGAGTTATAATAAAAGTAATTAAATCTTGAGGGTTGTGGTATTGGGAATGAGCACATGAAAAGATTCTTATAAAAAGACTTCTTTTTTCATAAGAAACTGGTTTTTAGTTGATATTTGAATAAAAATTTAAGAATGCACTCAACCCATGGTGATTCTATAAACAGGCTATTTAGTGACCAAGGCAATCCAATAAGAAGAGAGGAGCTGAAGATGTTTGTGAGTCAGGAAGATGCAGTGGTGATGTCTGGAACAGGGACTTTTGTTTTGTTTTTTAAGTTTGCAGCTTTTGATTTTTAAAGTTATGTGCATTTCTGTGTTAAAAAGAAAAGGAAATTAAGACTCATTCTTCCAGAAATCTGAAGGAAAAACAAAGTATAGATTTAGTAAGAGACAGACCCACAGGTATTACTAAAGGAGAAAGTAAAGCAAAGAGAG